ACCTTTTCTATACCTTCCTGGTTGATTTTTTTTTTTTTTTTTGAGAAGTTTTTTTTTTTTTTGCTATAGGGCGCATGCACTCGCCAGAGAGAGATATAGAGACAGAAAGCGAGAAATCACCCCCAGAGGGGATGGTCACGCCGCAGTCCCTTCTCCTCCATTCTCTTCTTGGGATCTTGGGCACGCATGCACACGCGCCTGGCATGTTTCAGGCCACTGGGTCCGGGACACGAACCACAGTCGACTACGTGGGAGTCCAGTGACATAGCCATTACGCCAACTGCTGGTTCCCCTTTCCTGGTTGATTTTTCAACTTTTGATGTAAAACATATTTTCTATACTTTCCTGGTTGGACTGTAAACAGTTATGTTTATTACACATTGACACTGGTAATGTTTTTAAATGGATATTTGTATTTAATTTTTAATACAGCCTTAGAAAGACTGTATCTTTTTTTTAACCATTGCTTTCAGTATCAATGTACTTACCACATTAACAGAAGCATGATAGAATCTTTTAAAAGATTTTGAAACACCCTAAATTAGATGAGTTTTATCTTGTGGTAAAGGGTGAGACCATAAGTATATAAGGCCAGTGATATTTATAAATTACATAGTCGTACAAATATTAAAGGTGTTTACAACACCTTTCAGCATGTAGTACAGCAATCCAGAACTTATGTGTTCATTCAATGATTGTAGCTGAGCTAGATTTCCTCACCTCTTTTATAGACTTCTAAGTCAAGGTCTCCTATTTGTTTCTTCATGGGTCACCTGGTGTCAAAAATACATCTCATCTCATGAGTAACTATTTTTTTACATGGAGCATTGAGATTTCTGTTTATCTTTGAAATGCATAAAGTTTAACCCAGATAGAGATCAGTTACCTGAGAAACTACATTCACCTTCATTGTCATGATATAAAATATTTAAATTATAATTGTAATTAAAACTATTATTTGTAAGATGGGGTAATAATAGTATTTATCTGTCAGGGTTATTTTGGAATAAAGTGAAATAGTATAAATGAAAGCACCTTAAAACTTATGAGATGCTACCTATATGCTGTTCATTACCTATTTTCTTCTGCAGCTGTGAAGGCCATTTATAATGGGCTGGTATGAATTACATAGATTTGGAACCATGAGTTTTAGATACATGTTGAAGAAGGGATTGCAGCATGGCCATACCACCAAGGGGTGATCTCTCTCTCTGTCAAGTGCACATGCCCTATAGCAAAAATCTCTTAAATTTTTTTTATAAAAGAATTAAAGAATTGGTTTTATTTATTATTATTATTATTATTTTTATTTGCAATGGGGCATGTGCACTCACCAGATAGACAGACAGACAGACAAAGAGAAAGCAAGGAAGCAAGCCACCAGATCCAGGACTCAAACAGCGGTCAGCCCTGTGAGAATCCAACACTCCAAGCACCATACCACCTGCTGGACCACCCTTTATGACATTTTTTAAAAAGGCATTTTATTAGCAAATCAAAGGGAAACAATGACTATTTTTTTCTTTAATAGTTCACTGTCTAACAGAAATGTTCTTTTAGATACAGGCATTCATTAATGTGACAGCTTAGTACTTAGAAATGCAATTCTTTTCTGTTTCACCATGGTGTTAAATGATCAGTTTCAAGTTTTTTATGTAATAGTATTTATTTATATTGTGTCCCAGCCCTAGATGGCATTCAGGAAACCTGGCCTGAATATACTGTTTTAGTTATATACATGTATACTCTAGTAACAACAACTAATTGAAACTTTTAATCTGTTATTTTCTCTATTTTAATTCATGCTTTTTAAAAAAAAAGAAATTTTTTTTTTTTTTTTTTGCTATAGGGTGTGTGTGCTCGCTGGAGAGACAGAGATAGAGACACAAAGAGAGAAATAATCCCCCAGGGGGATGGTCACACTGCAGTCCCTTCTCTTCCAGTCTCCTGTCCGGATCTTGGGCATGCACACACATGTGCCTGGCTTGAATTTTAAGCTGCAGAGTCCAGGACTCGAACCGCAGTTGACCATGTGGGACTCCAGCAATGCAACCATTACACCACCTGCTGGTCCCAATTCATGCTATTTGAAATCTGATTTTATTGGCAGTATTTATTCTGAAACTGACTCCAACATGCATTAGTTTATTCTTTTTCCAAACATTATTGAAATGGAACATGATGGCCTGATAATATGATAGCAAGAATCCTGCTAAGGTCATGTTGCCATTTGTCTTCTAGCATGTCTGCATTTTAAGTAATACTCCAGCAGCTAGGGAGGACTCTGTGAGCACTGGTGCTTTAATTATCTAAGCAGAAAGTAAGATTTAAAAGTGATTTTCTCTCCAATGTTTAGGTTGGTCACAGCTGATGTAGCTTTTTACACTGGAAATCTTCAAGCCTTAAAAGGTCTTAAAGATTTGGACCTAAATATGGCCGAGATCTGGGAACAGAAGAGGTGATGACAGACTGGAAAACTGGGTAGCTCATCTGACCACAGGATGTGTATGTTTATGAAGAAAATCTGGATGCCTGGGATTGGAGAACTAAGCCTGGAACCCAAAGTGAGCTGGGGTGGGGGAAGGGGAAGAGGAAAGCATCGGTGTCGAGAAACTGGATTCAGTGGGATTTACAAGAAAAAATGTGCATCCTTCAGTGAGGAGTAACTGATCAGGTGTCTATAACATTTTTCATTCTCTCTGGAAACAGACTCAGGTTTCTTTGGACCAAATCCAAAAGAACACATAGCTGTAACACAGCTGTAGTTGACTAGAATGCTCTGTATACTTTATATTAAAAAAATGCTTTGCATTTCTTCCAGTGCAATGAAATTCATATGGTGTCCCACCTTATTTAATGATGGTACAATTTAAAATATTAAAATCTTAGTCAACCTCTGTAGAAAGTTTTCTCTATGAAAGTAAAGCTGTTTGAAAAATTATTTTTTTACAGATCTTTCTATAAAAAATAAACATCTTTTGATTGCTTGGATTTAGGAATTCAGTTTTTGTTTTAGTGACCAATGTCAAGTTTCAGGCTCTGTGTGTTGCATATTTAATCCGTCTACTACCACTATATGTGTTGACTGGGTAAAAGCCTTCTAGAACAGTCTAAATACTTGAAAGGCTGATTACAAATAATTAAATAATAATATACTGGTATTTATTTATGCAACTTTACTAATTTAAATACTTTTCAGAAGTGGAATACAAAAAGACTACAGTTTAATAGCTGTATTTTTATAAAGGTATGAAAGGTTTGGGATTATTTTTAGTTAGTTTTTTTTTTTCCTTTTTATTTCTAGCAGAAGAATGCAATTCATATAATCTGCCTTATGAGTTCTTGTTTTAACATTTGGATAACACAAGAAGTATGCCCCCCTTGGATTCTTATTTTTAAGTTACCATCAATCTGTATATGAACAAAGACCAGGGAAAAATAAAACTTTTAAAATATAGGCTGCTGTATTGGGCCAGAAATAAAAGATGACAAGTTAAAGACTTTTATAATACCTACCTTCAAAATTAGAATCGTTAGCACTCTACAAATGAAAGTGCCTGTGCCTCACCTCTCACCAAGAATCTTGCCTAACTCTGTCAGAGTGCCTAATCTTGTGGTGATTATGTACAATGAAGTAGTCTTGTTTTGTGCTCTTTGGTTTCTTAAAAGGAAAGCTTGTTTGCTTTTCTTTATTATTACAGAGGTATGTCATTGGTTCTTAAACTGTCTATCTAAAATAAAGCTCTAAAAAATAATCAGACTTTAAAGGACAACTTTTTTTTAATGGTACACAGTTAACTTTAAATAAGCAGTCTACTCAAAACAAGTTTGGAAAATGTGATTGATCCATAGAGAAAGGCATAAATTGAAGTTAACCAGCAGCCTTGATTTGAAATGTTAGTCATGAATAGTTTTCAGTGACAACAAGCAAGCTTCAAGAAATAAAGCTTCAAGGAAAGGTGACGTTTAGAAGTTACACTGCTGTCATGCTATACCAGAGTACACGGATGTAGTAGAAATGCCCTGCTCCTGCCCTTCCTCTCACAGCTGAGAAAAGAAACACCACTCTGTTTAATTAAACAGTCTGTGAAAAGCATGGCAGACATTCAAGCTTTAGAATTAGATGACAGGTACCTCAGGTTTAATTCCTATGGAAATAATGGCATGGTTAAGATTCTTAGAAATGTAAAACTAAACTGGGTAGGTAACTAGATATTCCAAGAGCAAATCTCTTAACTTACACAGTAACTTTAGCAAGAGTAAACCATTTAATTTTGCCGTTTCATAAAGTCAGCATTAAAAAAGTAGGGCCAGCCATAGTCCAGTGAGCTGGAGCCCCCATGGCTGACTGTGCCATCCCAGTCTCAGCCCCAGTGGCTTGACAGACAGAGTGGGTATGTGTGCAAATGTGCCCGAAGTCCCAAAAGGTTGGAGAAATGGAGAACAAGGGACTACAGTGTGACCATATCCCCTCCCTCCCCCCGGGTGGAGGGGGGGTGCCTTTTCCCTCTCTGGCCTTTAACAGTTAAAAAACAATCTGAATAAAAAAGTACAAGTATACACATGTATTGTTTCACCATTTTATTTCTGAAGCCACAGCAATTTAAGGTGACCATCATTGAGGCTTCTTTTGAAAGATCTTCCAGCAGACCTGCCCCAGTTTTAAGATTAAACAATATTGCACTTTAAGGTGAACTAACTTTCAAGGACCTCTTCAAAGAAGAAAAGTATTGCTCCATCTGTGCTTATCTTAAACTAAAAGCATACTGCAGAAAACACTATAGAAATCAACACTGCACGGTACAGTAACATAGTAAAGTACCTGCGAGTTTTAGAATCTTAGAGAACATTTCATTGTAAGAAACTATTTAGCCCATTATGAGTATAAAGGGTACACAGTATTTTTCATTTCAGTGGTCCAAGATGCGAAGGTTCCCAGATACAATCTTGTTCTCTAATACGGCTCCAGGTGGGATGTCAATTCTGTCACCATGATTTGCAATGATGATCACTGTTCCCTAAGAAACAGGGAGGACAAAAAGCAAGAATGTACTTGCAACTGTAACTGAAAAGCAATTGATTATCTTTCAGTAATCAAATTTATGTACAACTCCTTCTACAATGGAGTAATTGTATTTACAATAATACTAAACATGAAAAACAACATGTGAAGGAAAATTGTAATGTGTCCTTCTCTAGCAATTCTGGCAGCAGTTCTAGACTCCTCACTTCCTTGTCAGGGGTAGTCAGTAACAAGAGCGGAAGGAGATCCAGTGCTGCGACATAACCTGGCCCTTTTTAAGGCCTCCTCCCAGGCCACCAGCATCATCCAACTTTCATAAAGAAATTAAAAGGTGCTTGGTTTATATTTACATACAATTTTTTTTTTAAAGAACAGTTTACTGTTTAATACTTTTCATGTCTTGAGACTTCAGGCACTATCAGCAATAATGTTCAAGATGTGTATTTCCTGGCTTTTTAAAATATCTTCATTTAAGTAAGTAGCTTTAATGTGAAGACAACATGATATCTGGATATGGGATATTCTTTTAAAATTCTTGAGTTGAAAAATCTGTTGTATCTTTGGTTGCAAGCTTTAATAGTTACACCTCTATTTTCTTGTGCTAGCCTAGAATGATAGTCAATATTGATGACAACAGGGTCCTTTTAGAGGAACAGACTGTACATGAAGTAATCATTTTTTCTGTTTTCATTCAAATCATCACCTTTAGTGAACTAATAATGCTAATAGTGATACTATTTTAAAGACTGTACATTTAATTAAATAGTATCAGTTCAATTACCAATTAGTGTTTGCTTTCCATTTGAATGGTGTTCTGCCGAATTCCTATACAAAACAATTATGCTTATATTTTAACTAGGTTATATACCTGTGGAAGGCAGTATTAATACTAAATACTGTGATAACCTATTTCATGTCTGTATCTACTCATTTAAAAAATGTATCTATCTTATAAACATCTTCTATAGAGTAAGAAGTATTCCTTAAAATAAAGGTAAATTAAAGAGAAGAAAATGAAATTTATTTTGTAAAGGTATAAGAAATGTAATTTTCATCATAATATACCTTTAGTGAAACATTCTTGCCAAATGTCACATCTCCTGAAACTGTCAGGTGATCCAATTCAAGCATATCTGGTATACTTTCAAATCTTCTTAAATAATCTTGAACCTTAAAGAAAAGTAGAAACAAAATTTGTCTCAAAAATAGGTTCATAGGCCCACCCATGGTGGTGCAGGTGGTGGGGCACTGCACCATAGGATGCTAGAACCATATAAGAATTCTTGAGTTCAGCTCCCAAGTCAACCTTAAGACGCTACATCCATGATCCTGGATGGTGAGGGGATTGTGACATGGTAGGCTTCTGCCAGAATTGTGTGGCCTCTGCTTCTGTGTCGCTATCTCATGAAGGAAATAAATAAACATTTTTTTAAAAAATTGGAGCCAGCAGGTGGCGTGGTGGTTAAAGTGCTGGTCTCCCACATGGCTGACTGGTCTGAGTCCCAGACTGGCAGCTTGGGAATCACAGTGGGTGCATGTACATGTACTAGCATGTGTGTGTGCATGCCCAAAGTCCTAAGAGAAGGGAGGAGCAGGGACTGTGGCATGACCACCCCTGCTGGGGGGTGATTTTTCAGTTTCCCTCTCTCTGTCCCTCTATGTCTCTCTGGTGAACACACATGCCCCATGGCAAACATCTTCTAAAAAAAGGTTTACAGGGGCCACCGGGTGGTATGAAGGTCAAGGTGGCTGGATCTCACATAACCAACTGTGCAGTGTGAGTCCCAGATGTGGTGGCTTGAAAAACATGCTGGGAAAAAAAAACCACGCTGGGCGTGTGTCTGTGTGTCTATGTATGTATCCAAAATCCCAAGAGCAGAATGGAAAAGGGATTTTGGTGTGGCCATCTCTCTCTGTCTCTTTCCAGTGAGCACACATACTCTCTAGCAAACTGAAAAAATAAAGGGTTCTCAGAAAATAAATTAAATAAATAAGATAGTTTAGCTGAACTGTAAAAACATTTTATGGCCAAGCTCAGGTCATTTGTGAGAAGAATGTATTTTTTACGTACTCACTATATACCAGTTCTCACGTAGGGAAGACCCAGGAGATAGGAACATTGTCATTACAATCAAGCAATATAAAATATAGTTAAGCAGAGCAGATGTTGAAAAACAAAGATAACCAACCAACATGCTAAGAGTCAGATGAGTACATGAACTGAATTTAATTGGAAAAGAGAAAGTTCATCATGGTTGGAAGGAGACTAAACTGGAGCGAGGCAAGATTTAGAAGTGGAGCACATTTTAGGAAGAATAACTGCACACATTATTATAAATTATCACTGTCTTTGTCTCATCTCCTTAGATTTACAAGCACTAGAGATTACCCTGTATGACCTGCAATTGGCTTCCACCACCATGCCACCCTGGCCATACTGTCCTTTCCCCCCTACTATTGGAGTTGAAGTGTTTCTCCTACTTGAAAAGCCAACCTCTCCACTAACACACAGGTCCCTTTTATGACTTTTACAAGGATACTTCAGCAATTCTCCCTCTTCAGTGTTTTTTCCTCTTTACTGCATTAATTCCCACCAATTATAAACATGCT